GCCTCGCCCCACGAGGCAGACAACACATAATGTGCTCGTATATATACACAACTCCACTCATGCGGGTCCGTCGGTCCTTTTTTTCTTTGCTCCCCGACGAGCCGCTGCCGTCCTGCTTGGTCGCATGGGTACAGTCTACCGTTAACTGTTTTTTATCCTTTTAGTTTGTTTGTTTGCTTTCATTGCTTTCAGTGGGCGAACTCCTCTTTATTCCTGGACTGGGCTGTGCGGGAACAGAGTGTGTGTGTTTGTGCTGGTCGTCCCACGTGTTGCTGCGCGTCCCCACTGCTGGGCGGACGTGTCGGTTCCACTTCACGGGTTTGTTTCTTTTTTTAACTTTCTCTGCTTGTGTTTGTGTGTTCTGATTGAATGCGCCCCTTCAACTGGCTGCGTGTGTCTGCGTGTCTTTATCATTGCCTCTCTCTGCTTTTGCGTCCAGCTGCTATTCACGCTCTCCTGCCGCCCCACTGCTTCTCGCCGCCGCTCCTCCCCTTCTTCCTCGTTGTTCTCGCCTGTGTCGCGCAGCTGCTTTTGCAAGTATAAACGCCAACACCCACACAAACACACACACGCCATGTCCCTCACGCTGTGGAGCGGCGTGAGCCCTGAGAACGCGCGCATGCACAAGATTCTGGCTGCGGCCGCCCTCGCCAACGTGCCCGTGACGCTGAGGCCGTGCGAGTACGGCCGCGAGAACGAGACGGCGGATTACTGCCGCAACTTCAGCCCCTGCGGCCGCTACCCCGTGCTGCAGACGGAGGGGGGCTGCGTCTTCGAGTCGAACGCCATCCTGCGCCACATCGCGCGCCTCGACCGGAGCGGCGGCTTCCTGTACGGCCGCACGCCGCTGGAGGGCAGCCAGGTGGACATGTGGCTCGACTTTGCGGCGACGGAGCTGGACGCGGCCGTGGTGCCGTTTGTGCTGCACGCCTTCCGCGGCGAGCCGCTGCCCGCCGGCGCGATGGACCGCGTGCACGAGGCGCTGCAGGCGCTGGAGACGTGGCTGGAGACGCGCACGTTCCTCGTCGGCGAGCGCATGACGGTGGCGGACGTCGCGGTGGCCTTCGCGCTGCAGTGGCACTACCGCCTGAACCACGCGGAGGGCGAGGCGCTGACGAAGAAGTACCGCGGCGCCTACCGCCTGTACAACACGGTGATGCATCAGCCGAAGACGGTGGAGGTGCTGCGGTCGCAGGGCGCGACGTTCGGGCCGGTGAAGGAGGAGCGGAAGGGCAGGGACGCCGCCGCGCCCGCCAAGGCGGAGAAGAAGCCGAAGGCGGCCGCCGCAGCCGCCGCCGATGCGGAGGAGGAGGAGGCGCCGAAGGAGAAGAAGAAGCCGAACCCGCTGGACGAGCTGCCGCCGAGCCCGTTCGTGCTGGACGCGTTCAAGCGCGAGTACAGCAACACGGACACCCGCACGGTGGCCGCGCCGTACTTCTTCCAGCACTACGACCCCGCCGGCTACACGACGTTCTGGTGCCGCTACAAGTACAACGAGGACAACAAGATGCAGTTCATGACGGCGAACCTGATCCGCGGGTGGTTCCAGCGCATGGAGCACGTGCGCAAGTACGCCTTTGGCGTCGCGCTGATCGTTGGGGAGGAGAAGCGGCACGACATTGTGGCGCTGTGGGTCTTCCGCGGCAAGGGCATGCCGGAGATCGTGGCCGCGGTGGAGGACACGGAGCTGTTCGACTGGGAGGAGGTGGCCGACGTCGCGGCGCAGCGGGAGCGCATCACGGACTACCTCTGCTGGGAGGGCCCGACGATCCCGAAGCCGGTGCTGGAGGGGCGCGTGTTCAAGTGAGCGTGCGGGCGCGTCTAGGAAGCGGAAATAACACTAACTGTAACTGCGAGGGCAATAGGGAAGGGAGTGGAGGCGAGGAGTGGTTTTTTTTGTTTTGTTTTTGTTTTTGTTTTTCCTGCTGCGCCCACCTGCTTGCGGCCTGTTTGTGTGCGTCTTACTGGGCTCCGCGGCACGTTATTTTCTTCTGTGGGCGTGGCGGTGCGGCTTGTCTCACTTTTTCTCTTTTCTGCGTTGAAGGGGAGATTGTCTGTGTTCAAGGCCACACACAAGTGACGAGAGAGACGATGGCTGGCCGTGCGCTGCTGTTGGTGTGCGCCCTCTGCGCGCTGTGCTGCGCCGCCGGCGGGGGCCGGGCGTGGCATATGGACTACTGCACGGAGAGCAACTTGAAGTTTCTGATGCTGCTGAATTCAAGTAAGACCCTCGACGAACTCCTGCGTGAGCAGTGTAAGCACAACGAAACTTATGCAGCGGAGTTTAGAAGTAAACATGCCGCAAGTTCAACCGGTGC